TTTTAAAAGTAACATCCACAAAAGATAAAGGAGATAAAAGAAAATGGCATTCAATGAACAGATTTGTCAGAGTAAGATACATACTGGAATCCAGATGCATCCGATTGCTACTACAAATGCAAATGCTGATGTTATGAGGCTGGGCAAGAAGTATGGAAACCTGCAGAATGATTTATGTTTGGTAAATGAAAATCAGAAAATCATTAAGATTTTATTTGGATAAATTTCTTCATGAGTACTTACAGGAAGATAAAATAAGAAAAAAAAATAATAAGTTTCTTCAGAAGCAAGAATCAGATTATCCTTAATCTAATTTGCAAAAAGTTTTCTTGTACTATAGCTTCTCTAAAAGATTATTCAAGCATAAACTAATTTTAGCTTAAGGAGAAGTTTATTTCTTTTTTCCTTATTTTTTTCTTTCTTTGTAAGTGTTCATGAAGAAGTTTACCCAAATAGGTCCAAAAGATAAAGTAATGGAAGGACAAAATCCAAAGGGAAACTGAATATGAAAGTCCACTTACTTATCCCAAAAGGAATCCTTTGGAAAAATATTTGGGTACTTCTCTACTGGCTACAATTAAATACACAATTTCAGCAGTTAACCTTCTCAGAAAGCCAGAAGACTATCAATTCAAAACATTTCATCTTATAAACATATACAGATTCAAGGCTTTATGCAAGATTCATCTTATACACCAGATGGCTAAGAATATGAATAGCACCTGAGCCAAATAGCCTCCCAGTGATGGACCAATTATTAAACCTATGCCCCAAGCTGAGCTTACCTAAAAGCAAATAATCACAGCATGACTTGTTGGTGTGGAAATGGAGTTCTAAGAATTAACATTGTAAAAGAGTTGGTGATGCTTACTGTTGACAATCCTAGAGCTTGATGTTCTTCTCTAAAAAGTTCAGCGGCATATGCCTGTTAAATAAAGAAGTTATGCAGGAAGATGTAGAAATTGAAATTTGGAAGAGATTGAAGAAGCTATATCCAAATACATATGCACATGAAAGTGTAAAATACTATAGGAGTTAAAGATATGATACCCTCACTGGTCCTAGATAACCATTGAAACTTCCCAGAAGAAATCTCGTGATAATAGCCATCCAAAAACTTGTGCTAAGGCCAAATAGTGTGTTGAAAACGACACTGAAATCAAGTAAGCATTGATAATTATGGGAATCTTCAAATGATAACTTAAAAGAAAGTATGCAGTTCATTGGAATATATACTTACACTGAAGTAACCCCTATAAGTATAGCAGGTTTTCGACCAAAGCGATCTGCTATGATTCCCCACAGAAAAGATGTCAAACATCTGCCAAGCATGAATACAGAACCTACCACAATTTTATGATGCAGACATCAATAATAAATAACTCACGAATTTTTGATGCCGTCAAAAACTGGACATAGTAAAATTTAGTCTTACCCACATAACCAGCATAAGTACTAATATCAGCTTCTGTTTTCGCTATATTAAAATCCCTTACCTGAAAATCATAATGTTGCATCA